GCATTTGTAAAAATTGCCGACGACACATTTTAATGTGTTCTCCAAAATACAATCGCCTGGGGATACTTGTTGTGTCCAAAACATGAAAATCTCACAATAATCTCAAAAAGATCGTTAGCTCGTACATTAAACCCCAAGGTCTATTTATGCCCAGGACTACCCGGAAAGGTCTCGAGCCTTAATGATGTCAAAAGGCAACATAATGTGATCCCCTTAAACGGACGCCAGCGTTCGTTACTGTCGCGCGGTGACATCTCACTGCCTACACCCGACGCGTAACATCACCTTAGGGTAAGTGTACAGGATGACCCTTTTTGTTCACGGTTCTGCTGGATAAAGGCATGCCTTTAAGGCCCGACTTATAATGGATGCATTTTATGGCTCACGAACCATTTTACACATTGCACCTCTGCAACAAGTTATTCGTATTAGTGTTGTTAAAGCGACTAGGTACCAATCCATACCATAATTCCAATATTAATTCCATGTAAATTTCAAATAGTGAAAATATTTCTGCAATAACCTAGAGCTAGAAATACTTATGAAGAATTTCCTCCAAATTAGCATTTTGCAAACCTATTTTAGAACAGCATTTGTTCAGTTTTAATTTTCTGCACTTTTCACATTCTATAGTATAAAGTATGTTTTGAAGAACATCCTGTATAGTCCGTTCACAGAATAAAACATATTCACTCGTTAAAAACAAAATAAGGTCTTCAAGCTGGTTCCAGTGAAATGCAAGTCGGCGCGCAATGTTTTTGGCATTATAAAAATGATGACGTTGCGCATAATAAAAACTCAATAAAGGAAGCCATGTCCATAATTCACTGCCCTCTCGCAACAATCGTGATAATAAAAGAGTTTTTTTTATTGCACTCGATTACAGGGAGCGGTCGTGGCCTCGCAAGCGCAGCCTCCACTGACATCGGACCAAATTAATTTATCCGTATTTAGAAATGTTGCAGATTGGAAACGTGTTAGGATATTATAGAGACGGTGACGTGCCCGATAATATGACAGCTCGATGCAGGAATTAAATTTTAGGTAAGGCCACACTCCTCAGTTGCCGATCGGGTGACCTCGATTGATCATTATCTCCGTCGAAAATCTCTTGCGCATATTAAACTGTCTCCGTGTTTTTGACGTCTAGTTTTCTAGCTCGATATCCTGTATTAAAATAGAGTTAAAAGGCGATCGCGCACCGCCTCATTTACACTTGTTGCGCTGACTCAAGTCACAAAAAATCTGCATACTTGTTTTTGTTTTATGTAACACACTTAAAAAACGGTGTTTGAAACTTTGAAGGAATGACATTACAAAAAGTGTTCTACTCGTTTGAAAGAGTAACCGAGTCGATTGTAAAAAAGCTTGTAAGCAAAAGAGCGTTGAACAAATTGCATGAAATGTCATAAAAAGCAGTTCACGCCAAGAGTTGCTAATTAAATATGCCATATGTAAGAGCCACGAAGGGCGATCTGCGCAGTCATTATAAAATACCAGAACTGCGTGTTTTCTATATCTTATATTGAAAAAAGGCCTGAATGAACGTAGCAATTGAATCAGGTGCGCGTGCGCCGGTCTACTACCATACCTTATAATTAGACGATATCAATTCGATGCGATAGCGTGGCCGTCCCTTGCGAAACTTGTCCAGCTTCTAAGGGACCATATCGATCCTACCACGCCACAGAATCATATATTTTTCACGCCCTGTACAGAAATTTGCCCTCTATATCCCTTTGAATACAGACTAAATTGGTGTATACTCCAGTTTCAATTAAGTCTTATGTTTTCTGTTGCGAATTGTGCACTTCCGCTGATATTACTGTGGCTTACGCCTTATTGCTCGCAACTGAATTTGCACTTAAAATGGTCGGACCAAGAGTCAAATTTGGAATTTTCGTGAAGGTCGCTTACTACGTTTAGCCTGAAGTGAGTTGTGCGCGTTAGAATAAGGATGCTGTAATCACCCGGACGCAGTTCTAATTACCGCCGCCACTCGATATTGCAAAATGAACGAAGCCTATTCTGTATACCCTTCGGCTATTACACCCGGTCCATTGTTACACAAAACACATTTAAAACTCCCAACCGCTGTGTAATGACCTGGGTGTGACCAGTTCACGCTACCGACACCATTGCTTCAGACAATAAACTGTTTTTGTTATCGCGGCCATCGAGAAACTTCTAATTAATCCCGAACACAATTAATTGCTACTAGCGGCCGCCCGCGACTTCGTACGCGTGGATCCCGTTTTACCCCCTTCATCTATCTTACGCGGTTTAGATTTTTTCATACAAATGTTTTTTCCCGCTAACTCCCGTTCCCGTGGGAATTTTGCAATATCCTGTTGTAACTAAGCTTTAAGTTTACTAAGGTACCTGCATGCCAAATTTCAAGAGTCTATCTTACGCGGTTTAGATTTTTTCATACAAATGTTTTTTCCCAAGCGTCTAACTTAAGCGGTTTAGATTTTTCGTACAAAAGGATTTTCCCGCTAATTCCCGGTCCCGTGGGAATTCCTAAGTATCCTATAACCTGCCCAGGAGTATGAAAAATAATTGTACCAAGTTTCGTTAAAATCCGTCAAGTGGTTTTTGTTTCTATAAGGAACATACAGACAGACAGACAGACAGACAGACAGACAGACAGACAGACAGACAAAAATTTTACTGATTGCATTTTTGGCATCAGTATCGATCACTAATCACCCCCTGATAGTTATTTTGAAAATATATTTCATGTACAGAATTGACCTCTCTACAGATTTATTATAAGTATAGATTATGAAAGTTTAATTGTAACGATTATGAGGATCTGAATTTATCGCGGCAATAATCATGTGCAAGTGTAATGGATGATAAATCGTTGGAACGACAGCCTCGGGACAATGTATTTGAATAAAATCATAATTAAAAGTAGCACCAGATGGGCACGCGGCTTTGAACTCGTAATTAATTATCTCGTGGGTATAATTTTGCATGCGATCTAGGTTTCATAACTAGTTGTCAAAGAATTCAGACGTCGAAATCGATTTTTTGCTTCAGCGAACTTTAGAAGCGGTTTTCTTAGTAAATTCAGGAAGGGAAATATTTACAACGTCAAGAAGACATTCATAATAACAACTGAGACTGGCCGAGGTTTAGTGCGTCGTTATCAAATCACTTCATATAATGTATCTTATTTGATTCTACAGACTTTAGGGCATTTTGAATCCCGAAGCCAGGGCACTAAATCCCAGAGAATTACTCAGCGAAACAATCTCAAATATTTTCGATTAAATGAAATAATCGAATGGATCAAATAGGTGCAACAAGTGAAAAGTTACTATTAAACATAGAAAGATGGAAAGATTTCGTTTTTGTTGTGGTATCTTGCTTTTCAAAGTAAACTCTCTCAACTCATTGGCTAATTGACTCATTTAGAGTAATGAACTAGTGATTATACAGATATAGATCTACAAGTTGGGAGGTTCCCAATGGGAACCCAAAATTTCACCCACATTTTGTGCTTTGCTTCAACGAAATTAGCGAAGTAAGGGGGCGTCCATAAATTACGTGAGACTTTTAGGGGGGGAGGGGGTCAACAAAAACCTCACTAAATCTCACTTGGGGGAGAGGGGAGGTCTCAGTAAATATCACGTAATTTTTTCCGCAAGAAATAGAGAAATAGAGTTTGCCAGAAAACTGGGTTTAAATCTTAAGTAAAAAAATTGGCCAAGTGCGTGTCATGCCACGCGCAGTGTAAGGTTCCGTAGTTGTCCGTCGTTAACAAAATATATTTCAGAAGCAAGCAATTACTTCATCTAAAGTCACTTTTAATATTTTCTTCTAAGGATTTTTTATTAGATATGAAATTTTATAATACATAAGTTAAATGACTATTACTCTTAAACTAACTGACCTACCCTAACCGTTATAGTTTTCTTGAAAGTTCATAAAAAGCAGTATTATTATGAATTTTTCCAGATTTTTCAAGCCAACAGTCTAGTTTTTAGGGGGGACGCCCCGCTCGAACAAAAATTGGCACTTTCAACTTTAATAGTTTGCAATATTTTTTTTGTAAAATCTTATAATCGCAAGTAACACATCATTTTTTTATTTAAAATTACAAAATAGAAAATTATAATTTACTTCTATTTATCGATAATAGGAAACCGCATTAGAACACGAGCACGGCACTATGTTACGACCGGCACATGCGGCCGTACTGTGTATTTTCACACGTCAGTGGATATCGGAAGAAATTAAATACATTGCGCAGTAGTTGAGCATGACATAAAGTGGTTGCTAACTAAATCGTCAATGTACAAATGTGTTAGAATTTTTATCACCGCTGATTTCGATATCGCAGTAACTGTTACGGCACTGAATTCGTTCGTAAAAATGTTTAGTTTTTTTTATTTATAAGCAAAATACCAATGGATTTGCAATACTTACATGTAGTAAATGACTCCATTGTTCCTGTAGTTCTTCGTTTCACTTGTTTTATTGCACGTAACGACGCATTATCCAAAATATCGGAGAACATTTCCTTAGTACGACTGAATCGCGAGTAACCTAGCTACGCGGCCGATGTTCGTTTCTGGGCATATCGCGGAGACACGCGCCACGCCCCCGTTTCACATCTATTCCCTTCTATGATCTGAGCCCCTACCTTTTACGTAGTAAGTACCTATGGTAACAAAATATAGCACTTTTGAACGCTCCGAAAATCGAATCCCTTCACGGAGTGAACTCCATAAAGAAAACGTCGGAGTCTATGGCCGGAGTCAAGGCTTTCGAAAAAGTCAAGGCTCACGTTTTGCTACTTGTCCTGCTGAGGCTAATTTAGGTTAGAAAATAAGAACATATTACTAATATGTTCTTTTAGCTTTTCTTTTAGTTTTAGTCTTTTAGCGAATACATCATCATCTGCCTCAGTTACATTGTCACCATAATTCCGGGTAGGTATACGAATATTTTTCACAGCCTACAATTGGATTTTTCGTTGATTTCATAGAACCTCTCTTTCTTTCAGGGCTACCTTCACGTGTGGAGGAATGAGACGACGTTCTCCGAAGACGAGCTGGCGGAGCTGTTCAACAACATCGAGGGGATCTATGCTTTCAATAGGTATGTATGTATGTTATATTCCTCATCTGCTATTGGAAAATTAACACTATTAGTCGGCAATAAGTCTCAATACGCGATGCAAAGGGCGTTACCAGTACAAACGGCGAATAAACCGCCATGATGCATGATTTGATTTCACATAGGTAACTAGGGTATCGGAGTTTCCGCAGGCTGCTTACTTTTTAAAAATATTCGTGTAAAAGCATCGTACCGGGCAAGAACTATGCCTGTCCCTGATTGGTTGCGCATTTAACAATAATATGTGAAAATTTTTGTTATTTTTCTCTAACTGCAATGTTTTGCCGTCAAAGTGCGGCAACATAGTGCCTTAACTTAACATTGCAGTTATTAAAATTCCTAATAACTAATTCATAACTTCTTAAGTTACCTACTTCTGATACTACTTACTAATTTGTTGAATAACCTATTTCCCCAAAAAAATTGTACCTAAATAGAATCATTTGACGTCAATTACCTATGTATTTCAAAGTTACCAAAAACTAATTTCATGCACAGTTAATATTAGGTAAATCTTCTGTTTATACCTATTCAATTCAAGAACCAAAAGTAGAAATGAGTGCAGTATTAATGCTGCATAAAATGTTCCGGAGCCGTCAAGTCCACGTCGTATTAAAAGTTGGCAATCCGAATCCCCTGACAAGGGTGAACGCGAGGGGCTGTCAAATGTTAGAGGGCTGGTTTTAGGGGCCCGTTCACTGACTAAACTATTACTGCTAGCACTAAAAACTGTTTTTATAATGCGTTTTGTGATGCGAGCTAAAAACTGGTATTCACTGCCTGCTGCTGTCTTTCACCAACACTATAATCTGGGTCTCTTCAAGACGAGAGTGACTATATTTGTCAAATACCTGCCTAGGCAAGGCTGACTTCTGCATAAGAATCCCTGCAGATTTTACGCAAGATTGAGCTAAGTAGACCGATTGAAGAGAAACTCACATTCAAATTCAATTTTTTTATTTAAGTATTTACAATTGTGTCTTAATGTAAACAATGAGCTTATAATAATTCAATACTTGATACCTAGAAAGCTGCCTATTTAAATAATAAATATAATTAGGTATTTTAGGATATAAACACATTACAGCTCCAGCAATTATTCCTAAACATAAATATTTCAAAACACACTGTTAACCTAGAGTCGTACGTATACCTAGACCATAATATCATTAATCTACTGAACCCGAACTAGAAACTTAACACAACAATCTTAACTGTATATCACAACCAGCCCCATATTATACTTATATTTTAACTTCTGCATGCTACGTACCGACAAATCGTTTTCTTTTTATTGTATACAGGGTGATCGTACATCCATGCCATAGACAAAGTATAGAGTTACGTCCCCTCGCCGTGGGAGGTCCTCATTGTCTCTGGTTAGTTTATGGTCTATAACTTGATTTAGGTGCGATTTGTGACGTAATAAATTGGATGAGGCTGAATTTAAAGGGTTAATGGAATTAAAAAGATATGAATTTAATTTTATGATGGGTGAAAGAAAATCAAATTAGACCAAATGGATCAACTAAGTTTATTACAAGCTTTTATTTGATTTCGCTAGTTAGTGTGGGAAAATTTTGTAAATGAATTTAATTTAGTTTTGATTTTACTTTGCAATAAATTCTACCCATTTTCCAAATAGGCCAAAAGAAATACAAATGGTAATTTATATTCTAATTACCCACGTATCTTGGGAAGAAAAAGTTTTGTCGTTATTTTACATAGATTAATGAACTGAAACTTGTTGTTGTACCTATCATTATTTTTAAATGTTTGTTTTATTGCACAATTATTACACAACACGAAATCATAATCTAAATTCGTTTCTAACGACACCGCTACGTGTAAATTGTGTAATTATGAGAAAATAACTGCTTGGCCTGGATTGTATGGAATTTAAATATCATAACATGACAAAATTCGACGTTCATGTCGCCATAACATCAATTCACGATATCTTAAAAGCTTGTTTACAGTATTTTATTTCGTTTATTATCAAAAGTTGTTAACATTAATGACATGTTAAGCTCTTAAACATTTTAAAAACATTTTATCTCCGTTAACTGTTGAATTTGAAAAAGACAGAACGATGCCGCGATGTTTTAAAGTTTTATGACGTTGAAACATGTTGCGCAAAGAATTCGTTTTTCAAAATTTTGATTAACTTTTAAAATTTTAAAGTTAGAATCTCAAGTTGTTTTTCTTTTTCTCTACATCAAGTGAAGCCAAGAGTGCCAGTGCTTAATCGTTGTAGTACAGATAACAACACATCAAGCTAAAAATGTTGGTCTGTTGATGTAGATGTTTTTTTGCAACAAAAATGTATAATCTGATGTGCTGTCAACTGTACGAATATTTGGAATCGCAAACGAGAAATACGTAGCTAACAATTAGTATACGCACTTAACTACAGAAATTTGTTAGCGTGAGTGTATTCCATTGTAATGACGGCTGGATTTTATCGCCCACTCGAAAAATAACTGACTGTCTAGCTACGATTGCAATTTCAATCATTAAACATGAATAGTTTTTATCAATTTATTATTCTGTAGTAAAATATAATTTGTTCTCAATTCAAGTCTACACAAATAGGTTTAATTTAACTTGTGAAATAAACGAATGATCTCGAAATGCATCAAAGCCTAACCTAGATTCAGCAAAGTGTAGTATGGAATTGAACAAGCCTGTCAAAGAAGTAATTTGGATTAGCACGACTGCGACGTCATTTAAGAAATTGCTTCGCAACGTCTGACAAACGACCGATTTAAGCTAACGCGGATTTGTTAACACTCGATTAAAATTACTGCAACGCTTCTGTAGACGTTTCCTATCTATATTTAACATCAGCGTCCGACACCGTCGACCGCAGGCTTTAGATCTTATTACATGCCCTGTTTAACTCGATCTGACGGTGTTAAATCATTCGTTGGCAGCCACATAGCGCATAAAATGTTGCCGATTTATTACAACGTTGCCACGCAGTCATTTTGCACAGACGCCGGAGCACCACAAGGCACCACTCTCGCGCCTCCGCTATTAAACCATTATGATTTCCAACGGGATGTTTATTGATCCATTAGTAATACTCCAAAGCGTTCCACTTATGCAGTCATGCCGCGTAATGTTATTAAGTTTTATTGCTCAATCAAAGTGATACCAGCAAAAACTATCGGACGCCTTTTAAGTAAAAGCAAAGAAAGAGAAACGGCTGGCAAATCATTAAAATGCACCTTTTGAAGGGGCACGTATTTCTTGAATGTTACTGCGGGGCTTGTCGTAAAATCGCAAAAACAATGGAACTATTCCTTTAGGAAAGAATGGCATGTTAAACGAAGTTGGTCGGCAAAATAAAATGTTTTATGGTAAGGTGTTGTTACTGTGGCGAGCGAGGTTGAAGCGCGTTTGTGTGGTTTTGTAGGAATATTTTCCGTAAACTACTGACGAAGGGTATGAATAAGTATTCTGTTTTCTAATATTAAAATTACTATTATACCTACGCATATTAAGTCACCGCAAGTTATAAGAAAGTACGAGACAACTTTTTTATTTTTCATTAACACAAAAATCTTTTTCGAATCCATATAATCAGATGACATGCACATGAATTCAGGAATACTATAAAAAATTGCGTGCACATAAGTTCTTAACATTTTCTCGACTTGATTGGTACTAATGTTTTCCATTTAAAAAAAAACAGATTAAATAATTATTCTATTGTAATAAGATTTTGACATAACTTTTTATAGTCATTTAATTAGTCTACTAAGACGTGATGTTTCAAAAACCAAACTTTTGTTCTGCAGGTCTCTCTGCGAAGAGCTGAACACCTGCCGGCTTGACGCCGTCTGCATCGCCCGCTGCTTCGTCAACAACACGACCGGCTTCTCCGTCTACACGTCCTACTGCACCGGTTACCCTCGCACCATGGAGCGGCTGGCTGCCATGGCGTCCAAACCCCAAAGCGCCAGAGAGTTCAGGGAAAGGCAGCTGGCGTTGGGACACCCGCTGCCGCTGGCGTCGTATCTGCTCAAACCAGTGCAGAGGATTCTGAAGTATCACCTATTGCTGCAGGTGAGAACGATCTAGGTATAACATTATTAGGTATATGTATATATAACAATAGGTAGACCTATCTGAAGCGATTGCTTCATCAACAACACCGCTGGCTTCTCCATCTACACGTCCTACTGCACTATGGAGCGGCTGGCTGCCATGGCGTCCAAGCCCCAAAGCGCCAGAGAGTTCAGGGAAAGGCAGCTAGCTTTGGGACACCCGCTGCCATTGGCGTCGTATCTGCTGAAGCCAGTGCAGAGGATTCTGAAGTATCACCTATTACTGCAGGTGAGAAGGGTCTAGGTATAATAGTACCTATCTGGGGCGTCTATAAAAAAACGCAAATAGTATTCTACAAAAATGTAAGGAAAATCGTCGAGAAAAATGGCTACCCATACTAAGTTACAGTTAAGCAGACTAATTTTAAGACATTGTTTTTGCGAATACCCTATGTTTTGTTAGAATAATCACTTCTTATATTTATCTGTAATGTTGTCTTACCACATCGGCCATCCGCTTCACCAATTTTGATGGATTTAGTAGGTATGCTTGATTGAAGCTTAGGGAGGGACAACTAATTTTTTAGTTGTAGAAAACCTCGAAGAGAACTAACTGATTCAAAGTTTTCTAAAAAGCTTTTGAACTCCTTTTTAAGTAACCAACTAGAGTTATCAAACAAAAAGCAACTTTGATCCAACAGTCTAATGTCCACATTACAGAACGTGGTGAAACAATGCGCATCCAGCGAGACGGAGTACGCTTTACTGAAGATGACGGGCATCGCTCAGCACATTGATGACATGAAGCGGCGGCATGAACACGCTGTTAGGGTCCAGGTTAGTATCTATCTCTGTCTTTCATGTTGGGATGTAGGCGTGAGTGAGAGAGACGACAAACTGATGGCTAGGGCTAAGATCAAATGGAGCGATTACAAAAATCTACTCACTGACTATCTTTCTTACGTAAACTGGGATGTTGGCATGAGTGAGAGAGGTAGTAAACTTGTGCTTAATGGGTAGGACTAAAGCCTGGTCCGTGAGCACGTAGAATCCCGTCCAATGACCCCAAGCTACCCATCCCTATCGCTCGCGCGTAATTATGTTGCTGTCGCGACTGTGCGACGGGCGCCCGCAGTGAGTATGCGAGCGTGACAGCAATATAATTACGCGCGAGCGATAGGGATGGGTAGCTTGGGATCATTGGACGGGATTCTCCGTGCTCACGGACCAGGCTTTAGTTACGTAGGTACGTCTTTCTAGAACACTTCAAAGTTATCTCAAAAAGTCCGCGTGAGGTCTTTGTCTAATTACCGCATTTTTACTAAAACTCAGGGGAAGAAAGGACATCAATTCTTTCAGTATTTAAGTCTTATTTTACTTGAAATGGAGTATTTAAGCCAATTCCCCATTTGCCTTTAATAAAAATTAGAGATTGTCTTCCTCCTGCAGTGGATACTAAAGACTTGACTAATGGTGATGATGACTTGAAATGTTTTGAAATATTGCAGGAGATCCAGTCGCTTCTCTACGGATGGAACGGTCCAGATTTGACTACGTACGGAGAGCTTTGCGCCGAAGGAACATTTAGGTACCTACATTTGTAACTATCTACTAAATTAGTTGATCTATGTAGTGTACAACCAAGGAACATTTAGGTACCTTTATTTTTCTATCTACTAAATTAGCTGTTGGTCTATGTGTACAACCCGGCCAAGTTAACTGCGTACCTAGCTGCCGTGATGTCACATCGGCGCTCTGGTACGGACGGGGCGAACGCGGGAAGGTGTGAAGTGTGCTAGGAAGGGTCGCATTCCAGCGAGGTGTCCATTTAAGTTGACCGAGTTTGAACACTTGTGTCTCTACAATAGCAAATTTTTGAGGCAAGGTTCCTCGCGCATATACCTACTATACGAAAACCAGGTTAGGCATCCAATTTTCGGATACATCTAGATACTTGCTCTTTTTGGGAATTTATTTTAATTTGATTTGCTTTACAAATAAGTGAATACAATTTTAACTGCTTGCTTTCAGGGTGCTCGGGGCTAAAGGCATGAGACACGTGTTTCTCTTCGACAAAATGCTTCTCGTCACGAAGAACAGGGAAGACGGCATCTTGGCGTACAAGTCGCATATTATGGTAAGTAAAAGAAATATCTTATTTTCTTTCAAGTAAATTAGATTAACGCCTATCTTGTGAAAATATAATGACATTAATTCCGTTGCAAACGTTGCATTTGCAAAGCCCCATCACGTTGAGGTCGACCATATTGGATTGGACTATTTACTCATATTTTTTTCTCACTTTTCTTTTGGTTTTCACGCCAAGAAAAATTCGGCAGTGCACCAAAAGCTTTAGTTTTTGTGAACCGTCTTCAGAATTTCTTGGCTACTGGCTAGTCTGACAATATTTATTGGGTTTTTAGGAGTGTTGCAAGGTCGTCCGTCCCAGATAGACCTTCTTGAGAACCTGGGATCTTGAGGATACCTAATCGATGATACCTAAATACTTATACCTTTCATGAACTTCTTTAAAATCTGACCTAATTTCTCCTCAATAAGGACTAAAAACTATACATATCGCACCTTGAGAGCCGTACCGTCACTAAACGAAAGGAGTTTTTTAGTTAAGAACGCCATCTAGTACAAATTTTTGGTATCTATAGAATACAAAGACACCAGTGGGCTGAGTTTGAGTTTACATAAAACGCGCGTTTAAAAAATGTATGAAAACTTTAGTTTTTGAACGTTTCCCGCTAGGGGCCCTGTACAATCCGCCATACATTTAATGTCATTTTTTGATGCGCTCACTAGTGAGCGCGTTTTATGTAAACTCACACTCAGCCCACTGGTGTCTTTGTATTCTATAGATACCAAAAATTTGTACTAGATGGCGTTCTTAACTAAAAAACTCCTTTTGTTTAGTGACGGTATTGAGCTTGTCTAGACACTATTGTATAGAGAACAATAGTGTCTAGACAAACCTAAAGAGGATTTAGGACGCTATTTGGATCAAATATGTAATTGCTCAATAATGAATAATAAATAAATAAATAAAAATAAATAAGGCCCTCAGTATTAGAAAGTTCCTCAGGATTAAAAACAAAACATAATACACATGTAATGTCTTCACAGTGCAACAACATGATGCTAGTGGAATCCATAGCGGGGGCGCCACTGTCGTTCCACGTGATACCGTGGGACGCGCCGCGCGCGCAACTCACGCTGCAGGCGCGCTCGCTACGGCACAAGCGAGAGTGGACCTTATTGCTGAAGAGGGTAAGCTTAGAATCGTTTGACTAATGATGTTTAACTATGGATGAATTGTCTTAAACATAATATTGCTATTGAGCAATGTTTAAATTTTTCGGCTATAGTTGTGTTATTGAACATTAAACAAGTCAAGCATTTTTAATGACTTTGGACCTTAAGACAAGGCAATAAGATTTAAATTAGCATAGTTACTCTAAAAACGCTCCTAATTGTAGGTAGTTTAAAATTATAATTATTGTTTTTACAGGTTATTCTGGAGAACTACAACGCTGTCATACCGTCCCACGCTAGACAGCTGGTGATGGAGTTGGGTCAAAATAAAACTGACGGTAAGTGTCTTAACGTACTCTAAAAATTCATTTATTAATTTCACAGTCATGTGAATACGCATAAATAAATATTTTTATCTTTTAATTTCAGATGATATGCTGGCTGAAAAATCTCACAACCTCATCACTCAAGCTTCGATGAGAAAACAACTATCGGCACCGGAGTATCTCGAGAAGCGAAAAATAGACAGAGAAAGAAGAAAATCCTTCGAAAACGGCATCAGAGGCCGCTTGAAAAAGGCCAATAGAAAATACACATTACCTAACTCTAGGTCCGAGTCCAGAGAATGTGACTGCACTCAAGTTTCAGCAGAAAAGGGCACAGATTACACTTGTGAGAGTTGCTACGTAGACCTCTGCTCGGACTGCGAAACTGAACTGTCCAAAGACAAAAGAGAAGATAAATGTGGCTGCAGAAATGAAGACGGAGAAGTGACTGGAGAGAAATGCCCAGAATGCGATAGATCTCTACATTACATCGATTCTGGTAGCGCTGAACGTTTAGAACGAAAAACATCGGACTGCAGATGTTCTGACTTCAAATCTTCCCAAGAGAGTTTCAGCAAAGAAATAAATAGTCCTCTAAATAAAACAAGAGGCTACCATTCTTCTGATAATATCGTAGGTTACACTGAAAGCGGCAAAAGCAGAGAAGATTTGAGCGACACCAACAATTCTTTAGTCAATGTACGTAATATCCCGAAAACATGCCTCAAATGTGCGAAGATCAAAGAAAATATTGCGGTCACTGATTCAATGACAACAATCCATTCAAGAAAATCCAGATGTAATGATACAGAAAAAAGTAAAACAGATACGTTGAGATCCAAATCTAAAGACGACCCTCAAAGATCCAAGTTGTCTAAAATAGGAACATGGAGACGAAAGTCTGAGCCTGGTTTGCCTCCAAATACTAGTGTCACAAAGAAATCCCAAGACAGTGACAGCGAACGCACCGAATCTAGGGGTTGTGAAAAGATAGAGTTTGAATGCAGAAATTGTGGCTCTAACAAAATAACAAGGAAAGTAAGAAACACTGACGGAACCATTATATCCGATCCCGAATTAGACAGCAGAAAGAGAACTCTTAATGGTTCTAATAAACTGAATGTAGAAATAAGAATGTACAATACAAAAAACATACCAAAGAAAATTTCTAAACTGAAGAAAAATAGAGCGAAAGGCTTGAGACTTGGCTCCGATACAACGGCTAAGTTTTATGCTGATTTCTCCACGGACGTGTCTACTGAGAATATCTTACACATATCAGAATCAAACGATAGTTTGAATGTAGACAAGACAAAAGACGTCACTCAAAACTCGGCTATACCTGAAACGATTAGCAAGGATGAAGATATCGACGAAGAAACATACAAGAAGCTGATAGAAAAAACTGATTCATTCAAAAAGAATGAATTAGAAAAAGTTAAGTACTTAAACAAACAAAAAGTGATAACTGAAGGTACAGAAGCTGAGGAAAAATCATGTGAAATTGATGAAAGTCGCGAAGAGATTCAAGAGAGCTGTGAAGAGAGTGAACAACCACTGGAACAAATAATATCACAATTATTGATGCAAAATCGGGAGTTCCAGAAGTTATTGAAGAAGCAACAACAAAAAAGTAGTGCGAATAGACGACACCAACGGCTTTTAAAGTCACATTCCAACCCAGAGCACGTCATCATAGCTCGTAATACTGACTCTGTAAAACTTAAACCTAAATACGGACGACAGACTTCAGAAAATATAGATTTCAGTAATCCTGACGAACATCATGAGGATATTGTTGACCATGCTGTGCCAAATCCACGTATTGAGATTGAAAATGTCTCTGATGATGATCATATCTACGAGACTTTGCGTGTGGAGAATAGAGATGACGAAGAATTACACATCTTGAATAACAAAAGTAAAGTAATACAACATCATCCACATGTAACGAGACCTAAGAGGTTACCATCACCTCCAACTCAAACAAACTTGCCTGAGAACATTACAAGAACTGGCCCAGAATCTGATTATGTATACCTTTCATTTGATAGACTCAATAACACGCAAGATGATGACGGCATTTATGACGTTCCTGTCAAATCTCCAGAAAAAGTTGAAAGACAAGTGAAAACCGATTATTATGTCGCTATGGAACATCAAGGTCCTCCTAACACAAACGAAGAGAATCTTTACGATAATCTTCTTGAAGTTTGTAGAAGGAAAAAGGACATACCAGACACATTACCGACTGACTATTTGCCCATGAGTCCAGACCAACAGAGTCCAAATACACCTGAGATATGGTTGAGTCGACAGAAAGAACACTTCAATGTTTCACGGGATAGAAAATCAGGATCACTCCCCAGAAGTTTTCAAGTAGTCACAAGTACACAGGAAGAAAACAATTTGAATACATTTAAATATAAACCAAATAGCAATAGTAAGACTTACTTGAATAGAGATGGCAAAGTCATGAGCACTGATCGACCTTTTACTATTGCTTCAGACAAAAGTGAAATAAGTTACGATGATGTCGAAAATTACATGAGTGAAGGTGACATACTGAAGTTCGCCAAAAATAGTAAGGGGTCAGAATCTGAATTCGCTCAAAATATCAGTCAATCCACATTAGAGCTGGAAGAAGAGATCGATAGATGTTATAAAAACAATTTCGAAGAAATCAAGTTAGACAAAAATAAAAATGAAAATCTCTTAACAGTTTCCCAACCTAATTTGAATACATCGACGACATCTTCTTGTGAAGTTCTGCCAATAGTTCGCAATGACGAAAAGCCGGCTGAAATAGAAGTGATACATCCAGAGCATAAGATCTACAAGCCAACAAGTAACATACTATCACTCAGGAATGTGCTAAGTCGATTTAAAAATAAAACACCTAATAAGAACAGTGATGATGGTGAAGTCAACGCAAATGATCAAAGTAGTCCTGACAGTGCAAAGTCTGATCTAAAGAGTCCAACCAATGAGAAAAGATCTGCTTTGAATCCGAGAAGCTATTCGAAAAACTTACTTCAAAGATTCAAGAGTATTATTGGCGACGAACATCCTGATGATAATCACAATAAACCAGAAATATCTAAAAGTCAAATACCAACAGAAGATACACAAAACAATTTGATCAAAAGTGACATAAAAGTAGTTATAACTTCGACAGATGTTAGTCTTTCAACTTCTATTACACAGGCCAACAAAGTTGATGCCCTCAGTAAAAGTGTGTGTGAACACACTACACTTACTGAGAGTCAAGATGAAAAGAACAACATGGAACTATTATCTCAGAGTTGTGACAATATCAATCAAAAGCCAGAAGCTTTGCGTCCTACTTATGAGAAAAGTGTAAGTTTAGTGACAAATTTAACCACATCCATTAGCAGTACTTCATCACCTTCCAAATCAAACAATAGTTCTTATCAGAGCCTGAACAAATTGCCTATTTACATGCAAGGTAGTAAACATTTAGGTGCCAGGATAGCTCAGTCAGATTACGTTGATCCTATGACACTGGTCAGTGAGAAATCGACTTTCAAAAATGTCAACGTTCTGATTAATAAAAACGCTGTAAGACCCGATAGTCTGTTTTCTAATTCGTCTTTTGTGACTTCGTCAAGCGAAGGTGCATATCAAGAGTGTAAGACAAATAACAATCAAACTACTACAGATAAAGACAAGACTCTTGATTCTCCGATGCAGGCAAATGCCGATGAGAGCTATTACGAGAAGAGCTTCGAAAAGATAGAACACATGACAGACGAAGACGTGTTCAGAGATTCAGCAGTTTATTCGGACCAAGAAGATGTCGATGAATCTAAGACTGAAACCGGCTCTAAAGTCAGCAGGATTGTAACACGGGTCGAAAGTATGAAACGTAACACTTCATTTAGAACTCAAAAAAGCACCATTGTTACAAATGTGAGCGAGAGAATAAGTAATAGTCGTATAACAGTAACAACGAATAAAGCTCAACACACAGAAACACACACTGCACAGAGAGTAGATATAGTAGAAAAAGTTAAACCTAAGATAGCTCCACCCGTTCCAGTTAAGCCAAAAATTTCAAATATTCCATCTGCAACATCTTTCCAAACAAAACCTATTGGCATTAACCGAAATACTTCGTTGGCTAAAAATCAAGAAAGAACATCTTCCTCAGAATCAGTAAATATGAAAACAATTAAACGTAATACTAACTTTAAACCTTCCGTCGTAAGATCAGAGTCTACTCCTAGCGACAAACCAAAAGTTGGCGACGAAAAACCTAAACAAGATGACTCAAAAACAACCGAAGGAATGGATGATACTAAATTGAAACCTCCTGGTAACATCCAAATAAAAAGACTTAGCTTTGAAAGAGCAAGCCTCGATTCCGCGACGAGAAAAATTAAGGCAGCTGAAATCAAAAAGCCTTTAGAACAGCCGAAAACGTCGAAGTCCGTTTTGGAAAGGCGAATGGAGATCGAACAAATGTCTAAGAGCCAAATAGTGAAGCCCAATCAGGGTATAAAGAAGCCTAATCAATTAGTTAAACCTAAACCGATAACAACGAAGGTTGCTACTTTTGAACGAAGTTTAAGTGACAATAGTTCTAAAGATATAAAGGTTACACCAAGTAGTAGTACAGAGAAAGCCAACATTCCTACAAAAATAGAGCCCGAGAAATCTGAGTCGTTCGAAAATGACCCCAAAAGCAGCTGGGTGAAGCAAGTCGTGAACAAATTCCAATGAGCTTAATCGAGTGATAATTGCATTTAGAATGAAATCCATCCGTCTGTTTTTGTACTCCTCTTTTAAAATTCCTTCAATGTATGATATCGAACTAATTTTAAGATAACTGGTAAATCTTTGTAAATAATCGTTTATCAAACCTCTTTGAGCTTTGATGTCTTGTGCCATAGACAAGATTGTAAACAGGGTGTCCCAAAATGGGTGAATAAAATTGCTTAAAAAAATACAAAAAAAAAAAATAATAATTAAGCAATGCTGGCAGCAAACCTGGTGGAAGTAAAAAGAACTCTATTGAGTGATAACTAGAGCCGAAAATATCTTAAAATTATCGCCCATAGTAATTTGATTTACCCATTCTGTGACACTGTGTATTTGCCGTATGTTTCACGATGCACAAAGGCACGGTATAAATAGAAACATGCTTATTTTGCTAATATATTTATTCGAAAGTGCCATTATAAACATTTATCTCATTAGGTATACTTACTCCAATTGATGACACTATGTAATATCATCAAATGATATTTTAATATTAATTTTACATTTATTTTTGGTTTGAGTATGGTTAATACTTAAAATAAAAGATATTTTTTCATAATCTCACGGACGTTATAATTCGTGTGTAAATATAATATTTTTTCTACATCTGTGCAATTCAATTACGTCTACTTACTTAAAATATTTATTTTTTTAGCGTTAAGTTTTACTAACACCAAAAAATAGATTGTTCTAGTATTATTTGTGTACTAATTTTATTGATTATGTTGCTGTTTTTTATTTCGTTGATATGCAATTCATATTATTTTAGTTTATTATTAAAATTACCTAGTGGTATTCCTTTAAAACAATATTCAAAATGTTTTAAACAATGTTTAACGTAATAAAAATGTCCATTAAACAATATTAAGCAATGTAGTTGGATTATTAAGTTAAGCGCATACTTAAATTGTGGAGACTGTTAGACGTGTAAGTTATCGTATGTCATTTCTAAGTTCTAACATTAGGACAAAATAGTAAATTAATATTACTAACATTGAGTTATGGTCACACTTGTTCCAATTTTAAAATTTTGTTTTGCAACGAACTTTCAACGTCTATGTTTTTAATTATGCTAAAAATTACGTTCTCAATTTAAATTTATTTTTTAAGCTGACTTTTTTTCTCTACGGCTTGCATGAACATAGCCAGTTTCATGTTAAATAGGCTCTACAAAATCATTTTTTTTTGTTTTTACATGAAAAATAAACCTTTTGTTTTTAAATGAAATTGTTTTATGAAAATAAAAATTTAAGCCATTGTACCTACTTTCACAAATAACTTGATTTTGTTTTATATTTTTTTGCAAAAGTGTGTCATACATATTTACAATATTGTATTCTCTACATTATTGAATGAATTTGTTTTTGTTTTACCTACACTTACAAACTTTTAAGCGAAATATCGATATTTAACACTGTGTTCAGAACAGTTGTGAAACTACATGTAGAGTTCCGTGTAACGTTTAATAATAAGTATTACTAATTATATCAAAGTAGTCTTTGATAACAATAAATGATCTTTTTTCAAAATCCTGGTTTCATTTTGCACAATATGTGCCCTCATCAAACAAATACATACACCCTTACATGCACCCGTATGCACAGCGTTGAATAGAGCTCTGTGATTGTTTCGTGTGTCACCCTGTGAGTCCACGCGCACTGTGAGACCTCATAGTAATGTTTGTGAATACGGGCGTTAGGTTGGGTGTGCACCATCTTTACTTTAAGGGTGTTTTTAATATCAAGCGGATTTCATCACGGATGCATGCATGACACGTGTGAAGTGTCCTTTTCATACAAATAAGTATTTGTGGTCCCGCGTGGGTATTATGCATTAAAATATTTACTTGTATGAATAGGACACTGTGATGTGACTGTGATGAAATCCGCACGATATTAAAAACACCCTAATAACTACAAACGTCAGAAGTCTGTCAAACTCCATACAATAAACACCGGATCATAACGTTATACTATAGTTACGGTTAAAGTTAGTTAGGCGGTGCAACAACAGATAGGGTCCTTATTACAAATGACAGATTGAATGGAGTTTGAGCTTAATTTCTGTAATAACGCGTCTAAGAAAATGGTCGCCAATCGCCATGGTGAAAATCGCTCGGAAACATCATGGATGCGAAAACTGCAATGGATTTTAATTTTACTAAAATTACTTTAATTTTACTTTGCTTTCTATGATAGTTTTGTTTAGTGGCCATAGTGGCCAAAAAGTTGACAACACAACAATTTTTCAATTGTAACAAAGACGAGCTGCGAATTTAATGGCTCTTTGGGTGTCACGAAATATTTGACGCTGACTGTACCTACCTATGTAATTTATTTGTATTTGGAGCGAGTTGAAAACTATTTTCCGCTCGCTACCACCATACTACAAATTCAATATTCTTGATGTCTTACTGCATTTCCATGAAATATCTTCAAGAAGCGACCCAAAAAGTTCTGTCGTATTGATTTACGAAGATCCCTTTGTCGGAGCCTCCAAATGGTGTTCCACACGCGAGATATGGTGCCAGGCGGTGTCATGGAATGTACATTATACAGCCTACGTGGAATAGCTATAGTAGCCTAGCTATAAGATAAGATGGGCTTATAGCTTTAAATCACAAATGCGAAGGTGATTCTATTACTTTTTTAGTTTCAGTTGTGATGAATTTAGCAAAACTATCACTGAAATTCTCAAATAATAATTTATATGAAAATTCATAAAGGGACGCCTACTTACCTTAGATCTTTTTCTTATCGTGTCGACAACAAACCTACACAGTGTCAGCCCAAAACTCCGCCACAAGAGTGGCATTGTCAGAAGCATTCATTAAATCCTCCTGCGTGCAGTTGTTTGGGCACGAAGGGCACGACATCATGTGCTTCATCGACTAGGGAACAAAGCCGCACCTGCACTCCAAGTTTGAGCCATCCAAGAATCCCCACCTGAACAGATTGTCTTTACTACGGCCGACCTGAGAACATTGATTTTCCCGGAGGCATATACTATATAATGTAACGTACCTACCTAAGCATAACTGGTTAACTGGTAATTGAACCTGACACCCTGCGTAACTATAATAATATAGGCAAGTTTCTACACCATACGCCCCCATCACCAATCCGGGTTTTCTATTGTACGATGGAATTAGGTCGTTTTCTTTGGCGAAGCTAGCAATGAAAACATCAGACGTTTCATTGTTCGCATTACTTACTTACTTAGCTCTATAGAACCGCCACAATTTTTCAAGCAATAAGCAACTGAACAAAATTAAAGGTGCATAAGTAAAGAAAACTTTGAAACTAAACTAAAATTAAATAATTTATTACACCCAAGTTCAGTAGTACGCCTTACTTATTCGGTAAAAAATATAATTATTTTAACAAGGCATGTTTTATAAAAAGATTTTTATTAGATTCAGAAAAGGCAACTTCTGCGTTTTACAATGTGAAAATCTTGAGTAAGTAATTACTTTGTTGTGGTACGGTACGTTGCAATAGATACTTATCATAATATTTGGTATTTCCAATTTATAGGCTCTACAATACGCAGTGTTGTCACAGGCAGTATCGCGTGACCAGTTTTCCCTCCAAAACCGTAACGTCTCAGGAATCACGCAAGACACTGCCTGTCACGTAGTGCGAGAGACGTGGTGCAGGGACCAGCTTGTATACCTAAGAATGTTACATTTACCTCTATTTTTTTCTTTCTTTCTTTCTTTCTATAAACTGGTTGGCTGACAGAGAATTTCCTATGGCATTAAGTTCGCAAACTAAATAACTTGAAAACATCATGGTTATTAAAAGCAAAGCTTCTTTTTTTGTCGTGTAGGTACTTACTCACACGACTTTTAAAGCATATAAATACTGGTAATTATAATTAAACTTGATGATAGTGTCTCAAAAAGTTTGATTGAACCTTCCATGTTCATTTGTCTGAAAACCATGTTAAGATATTGTATTACTTATCTAAGAGTAGGCGCACACCGTTGATTTTTCGTCGGCCGATAGTTTAGTCGGGCAGTTGATCAGTATGGGCACGTATGGGAGTGCGCACACTACGCCGATTCGATTTGGCCGATTCTTCATACAATTTGAAATCGGGCACAACTATCGGCCAACTAAAAATCAACGGTGTGCGCCTACTCTAAGTAAACCAAAAATTTGGTGTGATCTGTGATCCTGAAATAAAAGCGTGTAAAAACATCTTACATAAGCTAGCTATTTTAGCTTCCCATCTCCTGGACTAATCTAGGCTCATCCCGAAGAAAATGTACACGATAGAGCGAGATCGAAGCATAGGTTTTCCACATAAAAACAAAAGAGAAAGACGACAGGAAGTTCTGTTCCTTAAAAAATTTCATTCCTTTTCTGACGTCGATCGTCTGTTGTCGTACGCAATGGGTTCTAAAATTTAAAATTTGAATTTGTAGCTTCCAAATTTGAATTTGATAGTTCTAAAAATAGAATAGGTTTTATTATCGCGTAGTTTGAATGAAATACAAACTTTTCAGTATCGGCCAGTTTAAAAAGAACTTTAGAGTTTGAAAATTTAGTGCATTAAAACCGGTTTTGGTTGAAGACTATAGCTTTTTTAGGGCTGGTTTTTTAAATTATGGGGTCTACCAGTTATTTGAGCAAGCCGAAGTCACCGAGCTATAGAGTCAAGAGTGGTTCCAGTGCTGGATCTGACAAAGACATGAATGGTAAACTGAAGCGTGCAAAAATAAGGTAAGTTTTTAAAATAGGCTACTTGATTATAGTAGGAATTAGTTTTATTTTTTTTCTCTTACAAATGATTTTTTTAGGATGTTTAATTAATCCTTTTGTTTGATTTGATCCTACGAAAATTAAGGAATTTACTTATGATGCGAATTAAAATGTAATGTTGCATTTTTTCAATTCCTAAACAGATTTTTCAGGGAATTAGTTTAATAATTCCTATTATTGGTATGTGTATTAGCCACATTATCGTCGTTACGTCGAGGAAAGTGCGAGAAAATATCGTTTCTTTTAAGTTGATTCGATCAGAAATCAAATCTGTGACCTACCTAACCTACTGCGCTCAAAGCGATCACCGCACCGCTACGCCATCCGTCAAAATATTATGTTATTCATTTTAAAAGTTAACAAACGTTTCGTTTCATCTTGTACCTACCTTACTTTCTGTTATCTGTGAAAAAGTTTTTGAACGTATAGGTACATAAAGCAATCTGTAATACCTACCTACTTACTCCGACATTTTAATTAATTTTCATTATCACAAACTCCACTTGTACCATAACCTCAATTTGATAAATTACGCATTAATTCATTCATAGCAACAGACCGCGAAATTTTGTTGACGTTAACAACGGTTGCCATGGCAACGGAAAATTTGTGTAATCAATACCATTCCATTTTCGAAACAAAAATGTCTTACTGCACACGGTACCGAGCGCAATGCGACACTTGAGTTCGTATTTTGAATTTTATTTTTAAATTTTCGAAATAGGATTTTGTTTTTTGTTTTCTTTTTAAAAATGTGAAAGTGACGAAGGAGTTTGTGAAATGAGTACCTACTTCCCGTATAGGCGGCCGTCGAAACTGAACGAGTATGGCCTGAAGAGGGTGCCGGACTACACAGAGCTGGCGTACAAGGAGGCTGTGTCCAAGTTGAGATACTTCTTGTCGGGGAACTATGCTCCAAGCGTAAGTCTTTTTGAACCTACTTTGGAAAACTTTTTCGAACTAAGTAGATACTTGAGTAACTACCTACTACAGATACAGCAAAGGAAAATAACTAAGTTTAAATTAATATTTTTGTTTGGTTTTTTTTTAATTTAGCCTGAACTTGTACTGGCTATGGTATTCTACCTACATACTCTTATAGGTACATAACTATCCGATTGTTTTAATTTTTTCTCTAACAATCTTTGTGCGTTATCCCGTCTGGCCAGGTTGGCGAGTGTAGTCCAAATCCTCCATTAGCCTCTGATGAATGAAAGAGGGCCGTTCTCCTGTAGTCTGTAGTTCTTTAGATGATGAAGAAGAAGATGATGATGATAAACATTACCTTCTCACAGGTACGCAGCTATGGCGGGTCCCCCTCCATCAAGAACCTGGACGAGTCGGACGGGGATCTGGACAAGAAGTACTCCTCGCCATACCACGCCTTGGCCGAGTACAAGCCACGCCCACGCCTCACTGCCAAGTACGCCACGCTGTATGCCGACAGTCTGCACAACTATACGCCGCAGCATCACACCACTACTGGTAAGTAAGTGCAGGCAACTGTGAACTCTGTGGTACATAGAATAAGGGGGATCTTGCCATACCACGCCTTGGCCGAGTACAAGCCACGCCCGCGTCTTACTGCCAAGTACGCCACGCTGTATGCCGATAGTCTGCACAACTATACGCCGCAGCATCACACCACCACTGGTAAATGAACTCTTTGGTACCTTAAATAGGAACGATTTTGCTATAACAATATATCCTGGTGTTGTCGACTGAATATCACCTAGTACGCCACAGAATCATACCACTAAAAACTATTTTCACGTCTCGTTCCCACCGCTGCAACTCCTGTATAACCAGGATGTACAGCTTGACCGCCAATTAAAACCCAACCAGTGAAGGTCAAGTTTGTCCCGGGGAAAAGTTTTAAACAAAAGCATCGTCGTGGATTAGGTGCGTTTTTGCTACAACAATATGGAGTCTAGAACTTATCGGTGTAATTCGGATTTCGGAGTAAGAACTAGTTCTTAGTGAGTAATGATAGATGGTGCAAGGAACGGTAAACTTTGTGGCAAAAATGTGATGCCTGGTGCCATCGACTATAAATGCTCAAAACGTCTCATTAGAATGAGTCCTAATTTTATTTATCTTAGTACCAGCACCAACAACGGGGTCTGGAGGCGGGGACCTGTCAGGCGGCACCAACCCCGACGTGGTGAACTTCATCCAGAAGCAGGAGGAGTACATAGAGCAGCTGGAGCGCGAGAGCCAATACTGCAGGGTGAGATCTATTTCTATTTTCTACTTACAGTCAGCGTCAAATAGTTTGTGAGTTTTGTGACACCCAAAGTCATGAAAAAGTTGACTACACAACCTTATTTCAAAAACGTGTTGCGAACTTATTGGCTACTTTGAATGTTACGAACTTTTTGACGCTGCTGTTCTACTCTTCTGTCTTCCTTATGAAGTTACAAGAAACTATTGATTCTTGAACTTTGCCAACTAAATTATACATATTTTATGCTTGTGTTACGGTTACGAAAGTGAGGTCACCATAATAGCCAAGCGGCTGCGGGCTTCAAACCCGCGTTCGTGGGATCTCGAGTCGGCCAGCCCGACACCGACACCATTGGGCTGAACTGCTTACGTGCATACAAACCTAACGATCCCGTTGAAAATGGAAAGGGGTATAGAGGTCTCCAAAGAGGGGCAAGACAGGACTTCCCTCTGCAACTAACTGAAACGGTTTTAATAAAACTGCTAGTCTTCACACATTCATTTTAACACTGACAACAGAATAAAATTGTTGGTGATAATTTCATTGGCTGTAAATTTTCATTTTCTCAGAAATAAAAATATCTCATTACAAACTAAAACGGTTGGGAAGTTTCACAAGATTGTCTTGTTTAGGATGAGCTGAACAACCTCCTTGGGAAGGTGAAGGAAGTGATATCGGAGAACGAACATCTACACGAGGCTCAGAAGAACAAGCTGATTTCCCGAATGTTCCACTCCTACAACGCTGGCTCCGAGACCGATGAGCTGGACGATATTGGAGATAGCACTGGCCTGGACAGCGACCATAAGGTGAGCGATGGACGGACGATCTCAGGACAAAAGCTGGTAGTGCTAGTGAGTGGATCAAGTAAGTTCCATGGGCCAACGATGAGTAAGCCCCCCCCCCCTGGTTCAGTATAATTAGACGTTATTGCCGCACCCCTCTGCTCAAAGGATCGATGACCTAAGGAAGATCTGGTAGAGGCTCCACCCCCGCTACTCAATGAACTGATTACCTCAAGAAGATCTTGTAGTGTCTGACTGAATTATGTTAGCATACCTAATGAATTGTTAACTTTGAAGTTTATTAAAGTTGCTGAATATCAATGTCCAATGTACTGATAATTAATCAAATCTCTGACATTTACTAAACATCCTTCCTACCTAATCGGTCATTTTACACTATGAACTTGGAACTTGTTCCTAGCTTTTATATATGTTACGGTTAATGTGATAAATTGAAAATTATGAATAATCGCCGGTCATTATGAATAATTACCGACAGTTGAGGTAAAAGTAATAAATGAATTACATTTATCAGTGATTATTTAATAATGTAACCTTAGTACTATGAAATATCATAAAAGAACAATGGCTCATGTATAGTGCTTGTGTACAGCCATACATTTTGAATGTTTTGATATCATATATTAATATAATTTGGCATAATGAGTTTAGACTGTTTCTTGCGTAACATTACTTTGCCATAAAGCCCATAACATATTGTTTTGATTTAAAGTGAAAAATAGGTTAAGGTGCGGCGGGGGTGGCCCTTGGGCCACCCCTAAGCCGCCTATTTAGTTTTATACACACATAAATGATCTCATATTAATCACATTTACCAAATCATGCGGTAATTATTCATAATAACCGGCGATTATTCATAATTTTTATATTTATCACTTTGACCGTAACATATATACGAAGATTTTCATTTTACTCTGCCGATTTGATACTTATTCGGTAGATAATAGATTCGTCTTTTCCGCAGCTGTCACCATCCAAAGGCCGCAGGTCGGCCAAGGTCCGGTCCACCAAATTGGAAGGCCCTAACATAGTCTTCGAGTCCCGCATAGCTGAGCTGGAAGCCCAGCTCACACAGGCCAAGATCGACCTTAAGAAAGTGCAGGTAAAGATCAATTTCAAGTAATGTTGTAACACATAATAACTAGAAATTATTAGTCGGTTTCTAATTTGTCACGAGGAATCATCATTATCATCATCATCATTTCAGCCATAGGACGTCCAATGCTGAACATAGGCCTCCTCCAATGCTTTCCATGTTGATCGATTGGTAGCGGCCTGCGTCCAACGCTTTCCTGCTACCTTTATGATGTCGTTGGTCCACCTTGTGGGTGGAGGTCCCGCGCTGCGTTTTCCGGTACGCGGCCTCCACTCCAGAACCTTGATGTCCCATCGGCCGTCAGTTCTGCGTACTATGTGCCCTGCCCATTGCCACTTCAGCTTGCTAATCCGTCGGGCTAAGTATATTATCAGCGAATTTAGTTCGTTTACGGATCTCCTCATTTCTGATTCGATCTCGTATGAGGAATCAACCGATACCAAATTGGTGTAATTTACGCACATCCATACATGTTCACTAATCAGCAGCCTGACCAAACTATCGGCCGACTAATAGTCTGTAGTATAACTGCTAGTCAATTTCTTAGTTCTTTTGGTTATACTGTATCATTTTCGCAGGAAGAAAATAATGAGAATAAACGCAAACTAGCCTCTGGGCTTGTTGACTCAACGTGTCTCGACGGTTTCAAAAGGCAAATTGATAATTTGCAGAGGTGAGTTCAGATTTCTTTCAAATAAAGAAGTAAACGAGTCAAGTCAACGCTCCATTAAATAGTCTTTTTTGGGTATCTTTCTTTTCTTGTCTTGATGGTGTACAATGAAGGGTGTTCTACTCTACTACAGACATAACTAAGGAAACACTTATGCCCGTTTTCACCATCATTCCCTAATTTTTAAGCGACCCCTTTGAAAACAAAATTCCTGTTATGTGTTACCACATGGGCTCAATTAAAAATTAGGGATTGATGGTGAAAAGGGGCATTACCCTATTTCTTTTTCTTACTAAGATTATTAAGCCCCTTACGTTGTGAAAATTTTAGTCGATATGACGCGACAGCTCAAGCTCTATCTGACTCGTAGACCCTCATAATTCTTATGGTCTTTTTTTAATAAAAAAAAACTATCATACAATGGCATACAGTACAAAAACACCCTCACTTTTTAACCTACCCTTACCCTTACCCTAGGGACAAATCCTCTCTAGAAGCGCAAATATCGAAGCTGAAGTTGAGCCTGGAGCAGAAGGACGGTGACCTGGACGGACGATACAAGCGAGGGTCCGACGCCGTGGAGCAGCAGCTCAGAGATGAGAGGAACAACCTGGAGGCTGAGATACGCAGGCTCAAGGTGAGGCTGAAGGATGAAGATGACAGATGGTCAGTTGGACGAAGATTGAAAACTAGTTCTAATAGTCATTTGTTTGAATAACGAAACAAAGTCCACTTCCATCAGTTAAAGAGCCGGCATCAGAAGAACGTCACAAAAATAACATTTTTGAATTTCGAAAGAAAATTTTAGTTACGAGGGCTTGCATCGGGCAGGTCATACAATGTAAAAACAAAGCAGCATTTTTGACTTCAAAAAGTTTTGTTCTTTTTTAAAACCGTCAGTTGTTTTCAAGAATGATTTTTAAAAACGAACGCGCGTCCTAAGCGCGCTAACTGAAAAGGACGCGCGCGCGTCAATATAAGAAAGGTTTTGAATTTCGAAAACTTTAAAATCGTCATCTAGGTTGATCTGAGCAAAGAACGTAGCAAAGTCGACAAGCTGGCTGGCGAGAATATGCGTTGGGACATTTCATTTTACTTCTATGGTGTCGGGCATTTGAATTTCGAAAACTTTAGTTCTTGAAATCTGTTCGCCAGGACGATTTGAATAAAGAACGCAACAAAGTTCGCGAAATGGCCGGCGAGGGAGCGCGTCGAGCTATCCAAGAGAGGAGCGCGGCGGAACAGCGATACAACGCGCACTTTGACGAGCTGCAACACGATTTGGCTGCGCAATACGATAACGTGGCTAAGTTGCAGGTAAATCGCTTGCATCCATTTCTTTTTTAAGATTAAAAAGATTATTAGTAACTCCCGTTAGCCCCTCGTACTAAGCTAAATATGCTTACGGGACTATCCCACCTCTCGTTCCCACCGCTGCAACTCCTGTGTAGCCAGGATCTACAGCTTTAAAAAACTCAACCAGTGAAGGTCAAGTTTGTCCCTTAGCTTAGCCTAAGCTAAATATGCTTGTATCACGAGTGAGCTCGTCCACAATAGTCGAGCGGCGGCGGGGACCGAACCCGCGTTCCTCGGACCACGAGTCGGCCAGTCCGACCCCTTCACCGTTCGGCTATCGTGGCTTCAATCATTTATTGCCTTTATGTAGATTCCCTTTGTAGAGCTGAAAATCCTGTCTCGCTTCCATTACAGCTAGGTACGTCAACTCTACGATTTCTGTCCCATTTCTGTTCCCTTATCTTTATCTTCCTTCTTCTTTTTTTACCATTATAATGACGTTCAGCCTGTATTACGACTGCTGCAAGCTTCTATCAAATTGTTTTGAGTCAGTCAGGTCTTTTTACTGAGGTCAAAATCTTAACTTATTATTATCACCAGCTCGACTTGGAGCGCCAACGTCGCGAAGAAAACGACTTGAAGCGAGAGCTGTCCATGAAGAACTCTGCCATCGACGAGCTAAAGATGGAGTTAAAGAACAAAACATGTAAGTCCCATGCTAAAGACTTAGGTGAAACTCCTATGTAGCCAGAATCTACAGCTTGAAAGCCAATAAAACCCTGGATCTTTCTTTCTTTTGTGTGACTGAGTTTATTTATGTTGCTCATGATGATCTTCCTTCCAGCATCTCTGCAAGCAGACCTGGCTCAAGCCCATGCTGAAAAGGCGTCCTTAGACGAGGAGCTGGCCAGCGCCCGGTTGGCCATTGAGCGTCACCAGCGTCAGAACAAGCATGAGACTAACCGCTTGAACTCTGAGGTGAGGACTCTTATCTCACTGATCTGGGTTTACTTTAATTTGATAGGTCATCTANCAAGAAATAGAGAAATAGAGTTTGCCAGAAAACTGGGTTTAAATCTTAAGTAAAAAAATTGGCCAAGTGCGTGTCATGCCACGCGCAGTGTAAGGTTCCGTAGTTGTCCGTCGTTAACAAAATATATTTCAGAAGCAAGCAATTACTTCATCTAAAGTCACTTTTAATATTTTCTTCTAAGGATTTTTTATTAGATATGAAATTTTATAATACATAAGTTAAATGACTATTACTCTTAAACTAACTGACCTACCCTAACCGTTATAGTTTTCTTGAAAGTTCATAAAAAGCAGTATTATTATGAATTTTTCCAGATTTTTCAAGCCAACAGTCTAGTTTTTAGGGGGGACGCCCCGCTCGAACAAAAATTGGCACTTTCAACTTTAATAGTTTGCAAACGGATCCCTTAATCGAAAAATAGTCTTTGAAACTCAGTTAAATTACTCCAAAACTATTAAATTTCGGATTTTTTAAATATCACGTGAGATTAGGGGGTGGGGGAGGGGGTCAGGCAAAATCTCACCAAATCTCTCCAGGGGGGGCGGGGGGGTTGAAAAATAGCCAAAATTGTCTCACGTAATTTATGGACGCCCCCTAAGATTACGGTCTTCCGTTTTAATTTTGACATGTTTAAGCTGATAATCTTAATCGATTGATTGATTCGTTAAGAATCCCGTTGAGCTACGAACGGCACCGTAATTGTGGCCCATCGACACGACATCGGTGCACACGCACGACACGACCCGCCCGCCTGATTATGTTTTAATCTCGATTACTTTAACTTCGACATTTTCGAAAAATTACATTAAATTATTCCACTTACAATCTCCAGTGTAATCATGCGGCAATAAAAATGATGCCCGATACGATTTTCGGAGAAACTACGGCGCAAGATGATATTTCACATAATAATATCGATGGCCGACTTTGTAAGCGAATGTAGATCTGTATCAGAAGAGGCTCACCCTAAAAGACGGCTAAAATGGGTTTTTAGTTATCAAGATTCTAGTTCATCTCGCGGTGCCTGATAAGAATATTGATGGCAGTGTTTTTGTTTATAAACACACACAAGTCAAAAGTAAATTGAGCTCTATGATTTTTTTGATTGAGTTCATTTATGTAATGAAAATGAAAAGAAACTACTTTCGGCAGCCTTGTATGTTAGTAGTGGTGGTTAGCGAACTGAGCCCAACAAAATTGAGCTGATCATCAATATTTTCTTAAATTGCTATACAATTTCAATACAACTGAAGTTCGTTTTTGAAACAACCACCAAAAGCGCCAAAACCTAAATAAAAATAAATAAAACCTTCAAAGTGCATGATGCATGTGCACGTTGAAAATAAACGAAAGCGACTGAAGAAGCGTCGGAACACGGAACCGACCGACATTAATGTTGTTCAATTAAAGGGACGACGGCACATCAAAGTAAACACTGCTTCTTATGTCGTTGTAACAGGGGTTATTTTGCTATACAAATGTAGAGTCTTACGTGTTATCGACTGAACAACAAATAACACGTCTCTGACTTGTCGAGGGGCTTACTCTGAAAACGATTTCATTATTTCCATCCTTGTCACTTGTACCAAAGTGAGTGGGATAGCCAGATAAAATGTAATCCTTTTTCAGAGTAGACCTCAATACTGTCACTCCCGGGATGGAAAACGGTGTCGAGGAAGCCCCAAACCCGTTATTTGCATGGACAATACATTCGTTTCGTGAAGGATGTCCATCAGAAATTGAGATTGGCTGCTGCACTTGCCTTAAAAGGAATCATGTCTTATATAGGTATCTCTTTCCTGAAGTATTTTGGATTTGGATAGTAGGGGATCACAATTATAGCAGAAAAATATTACACAACTTAAATTCAAAATGAGTAAACCCAATTCGGATTTCTATATAATTACACGGCATTTCTTCAAAATCTGAGCCTAACATCTTCCATATTACCATTACGTTATATTGTATCCGAACACGCATATCGAAGTACGTATTAAAATGTTAAAACCGACCTACACTTACTTTTTACCTTCGCGCATCGCCGCATATCTGCTTAAATCTGGTCAGGTTAATAATTCATAAGTACATTTCAGCGACGAGCCGCGGAACCGCTCCGTAATATTAATATCGCGTCAACATCATTAAGGAATACCTTTTATTGCCAACTTTAAATAAGTCCGCTCGCCAATCGCCTTAATAAAGGAGGCTACCTTTCTCCAAGGTTTTGCAACACTGCCCTTCTTTTAAGCGGTTTTAACAACGCAATACTTAAAGGTATCCAACAAAAGAAATTCTTATCAATTTTGTGGTAATATTTACACGCTTTTCGTGCTTAATAATCACTTAATCTGTGGTGGTTTTGGTAATTTATGGCGCGGCTTACGAGCCGTATCGGCGCATCCGCAAACATTGTCCCGCGGGACGGCCTATAATGAGCCGAAATTAAGATTGCATGTTTAAGGGAAATTGCTGCCGTAGGCCAAAATTGTATTTTATAGCTTCATACGGTTTATGGAATCACAAAATTATTGGTTCTTTAACGACGCACTGAAGACGAACTTTACATAATGGCGCGACAATGTGGGACCTAACTCAGACTTGCTACCGACCTACCGAGTCACTGAACACGAGCTTTTGTTTATTTTTATATCATTCAGAAGACGGACCGCCATAAATCATTGTCGTGCGTTAAGCTTAATATGGACGGCACTCATTAGTGTTATAAGTTAATAATTCATGAATACGTCTGAATATTATGAATACCGGTAATACTTTGTTATGAGAATGAAGACGGCTTGTTGTTAATACATCTTATTTCCATTTTAGGTCGGTATTGCAGGCTTAAGTCCCTTAAAGAATTTTTGTAAGAATGTTATATCGTTAGCTGCCGAGTTATTTTATCTCATCACAGTTTCTAGGAGTTAATGACTGTATTAACATTGCACTAACTAATTGTCTATTATTTTTCCACTATATGTTATGCGTTAACCATGTTACGCATTATACAATTTACAGTCCTATTTTTATAGTTATAGTACCTATGAACTATCAGTACGCTATTAATATAGATAATTGGGATCATGTAGAGCTTATCCATAATAGTATTACGCTGACTGTCGCGACCTGTCCACTTCCAGGGGCCGGCTTATGTCGACTTTTATCAAATTAAGTCTACTCAGTTTTCATGCAATTTAAGAAGTAACTTGAACAGCTTTCTTTAATTCATTTTATCCAAATTAAGGGCGTGCGGCTACACAATGAAATCCAGAATTCCTGTCTATATTTTTCTTCATAAAATATATTTAATACCACAAACAAACTTGTGACGTCATGACGCCAGCATGTAAAAGATAAAATGTAGATATTCCCATCAGTGTACCTACCATGAGTTTACGTTAGGTGTGCTCGCTAGCGAGTACGTCAAAAATCTCTATGAAGATTTTGTTTCTTGAAAGTAGCCGCTTGGGGCGCTGCACAATATGTCATACAATTAAATGTCATTTTTTTACGCAGTCGCTAGCGAGCACACCTAACGTAAACTCATGGTAAACACACAGAAGCGACAAGATGTCACTCTACGTGTCACTATGTGACTCTTCATCGATTCAAGTGCCAAAGACCATAACGGGACTATTCCTACCTCTCGTTCCCACCGCTGGAACTCCTGTGCAGCCAGGATCTACAGCTTGTCCGCCAATATAAATCAACCAGTGAAGGTCAATTTTGTCGAGGGGGGAAAGTTAAACTGTCGTTCGACCCGCAAGAAATTAATCAGAAGACCATAGACGAAACAATGCCTTTATTTTTGTAGAGGCATTAAATTAATTAAAAATAGCGCCAAATCTTAAGTCAAGAAGCTGCCCAAAGCTTTTTCCTTTGCCATATCATGGCTTAAATATTAATAATTTTGAATTTATGTTATTAATTTTTCACTGATATAATTATTTATAAGGTAAGATTTATTAATATAAAAGTTATTGTCCGCTATGGACGATGACGTTTCCTTCTTTTTGAGTGGATATTTTAATAATTATCCATTGTTATGATCACCAATACTTAACCATGATATGCATAACGATGAATTGTTTACAAGACTTGTTATTATAAAGGATGACAAATAAAAACATTAATAAAAAGTGTTATCTCAATAAGTACTCCATAAGTACTGCTTAAGTTAAGGTTTATTTTATGCTTAATCGGATCATATTGTGAAACTTCCGTGTAGAGTCAGTACTAATCTAAGCTACATACTCATAAAATGATTAGCGGCCGCCCGCAACTTCGTACGCGTGGATCCCGTTTTACCCCTTTAGGGGTGGAGTTTCGTAAAATCCTTTCTTAGCGGATGCCTACGTCATAACATCTACCTGCATGCCAAATTTCAGCCCGATCCGTTAAGTGGTTTGGGCTGTACGTTGATAGATCACTATGTCAGTCAGATAAAGTAAAAAATACTTTTAATGCTGCGAGTACCGAACAAAAGAACAAAGCTCTTAATATTTCAACCAGAATCCACCATTTCATGCATAAAGTTGACATTCGTTGACATAATTGATCTTGTAAACAAAGTGCCTGCTATTATCCGATGATATATCATATTAATAAATAAATATGCATACCAACGACCAAAAACTTCTCGGCTTAAGGCTTGAGGGTCCAATTATTTAAAACAATCGAATAAAAACTGAATAACCTCCCAACAAAACCTTTGTTTGTAAACCATCAGCCTATGAAGTTTAAATATAATAGTTTTACAACTAAAGCGAAAAACTAACTGCAGTTTCTGAAAATACTTCGAAATACATTCAGTGACTCCGGAAATTTCAGATAGAGATTTAAATAACTTAAAGACAAAAACATGGTTTTCAATAGTCTCAATCGAAAATGTATGCAAATCAATAATGCTAAATGATTATGTTAATACCATGTTGACACTCTCGTATGTGTTTTAGCGGACCGGTAAGTTGTTAGA